CATGCCTTGTGCATGTCTCACGGGCTCCGTGAAATATATACCTATTATTATTATTATTAATGCAAGAAGGAAATGGAAGGTAGAACCTGGAAGGGTAGAGCGGAGGGGAAGGATGCAAAACATGGACCAGAAGCACCTTCACCCTATGCTGGTGTGACTAGCAGCAGGACATGTTCAGTTTCCAACAAGTCCTTTGTAAATGAGGAATATCATCCATGGTTGCATAACCATGGCATACTTATAAGAGCCATCAGGTTTCAGATATCAAGTGGTAAATTAACCCCTTGTTCAAGTAGAATTATTACAAAAGATAACCCACCTTTATTCTTTTCTTTCTAAAATAAGGACCCTTCATCTTTACAGGGCACAATCAAGTGTACAGTCCAGATTAAGCATATGTCGTCAATGTTTCGCGATAGTGATCTTCTAGAGAAAGTTCCTTCATTAGATATAGAAACTTCGACAGTTTCAGGATGAAGTTTTTCTTTATCTATTGCCTTGCTCTTGATGAGCTCGAAAAGACCGCATCTGCACGATTCTCCGTGGTGAGCTCTCTATCGCACGCTTGCCTTGCACTGATCAGATCTACTATTAAATTTCTACTGATGTTGCTTAAATAATAGCCTAAGCTAGCAAAACTCTCTTCCAACATTTCGGAAGTTTCAGAACACAGGTTTTCTATACTCCTAATCCTTGGATCTATTTCCTTCTGGGACGGATATAGTCAAGGAATGTGGTCGAACATTAGTGACAGATTCTGACGAATATCGGCAACCAGCAAGTTACTAAAATATTGGCGCTATCAAGATAGACTTCAGGTGTACTTCCATGGTTTTCCTTGATAGATACAACGCAGTTTAAATCTATAAAATGCTCTGCGACACTGGAAATCTTTGCGTCTACATCAGGTCACTCCAGGCCGGGTCACAGAACTAGCGGCTGCTGCGAAACGAGTGTCTAATTTCTCGAGCGCTTGAGCTCGTGTTGTCGATGCGCTTTGACAGCTATAAACTGAAATAACCATTGTTGGTTTGAAGTCTGGAAGTGGCTCTCGTATTCGAGGCTTGCGCCCAATGTTCCGAGATTCTTGTAATAAGCTAATCTCATCGTTCAGTATTGTTCGTTTTCTTTATTAATCGCAGAGATTTGGTCTCCGATAAGCGGGTTTTACTCCAAGATTGTTTTATCGTTTTGTTTGTGTTTTTTCAGTCCAATCGGATCCTCACAGCATGAATATCGGCCGTTGCCGATCGAG